ATCTGACTAATGAAAAGTGTGTCGACTGAGACTCTTCTCATTGACTAACAGTTAAGTCGACTATTAGGGGGAAGCCCTAGCATATACACTGATACCGATATGTCTGCGATAGGTCAGTCAGTGTGTCTGAGTTTTGTCCTAAAGTCATAAGGAAGGCAATCATATATGTATATAACAGTTGTATACATAGGCTGCAAATGTCCATATAAGGAAAAGGGATTTATTGTTGTCAGAATGCATTTTACTACTTTTATTAAATATCCTATTATACTTTCTTTTTTTAACTGAGTACATGTTTACACAGGTCATTCTACTTTTACTTGAGTGAAACGTGCTGGTAGTCTTTCCTCCAGCTCAGGACACAATGCACAGAGAGTGGGAGGAGCAGGGGGCAACTCATTCTCGCCCTGGACGCCCCAAGGTCTGGCCCTGGTAAACAGGACCTCAGTATCGGGGGAGAGCTTTTAAATGCACTATATTTTTACAACCAGCTAGCTAACTTACTTGGCTTCTACCAGTGTGCCCATTTTACGACCAGTCTGCCCTGTCCTACACTGGGGCCTTGCTTTGCTTGTTAAAATACATTTAGGGTGTTCAATAGCAAACGCTGCTCTTGTGTTTCGTGGTTTAAACTCTCACTGTATTTCACATTAAAGGAAAACAGGACAGTAATTATAATACAATACAATTACACCAGCAGACTTATCATATAGCCTGTACCACTCCAGCTTCGCCCCTGAACAGACAGAACAGATAGAGCTGCATTTAAACTCCTGGACCGTTCGTCCCAAAGCGACACAGAGCTAACGTTAAGAGCTGTTGTTGGTCAGTAAGTTTACCGCTTCAACTTGAATGTCCTCATACTGGATGTCTTCAAACAGGCAGCCGACTGGAGTCTCCACCATCGCAGCGACACTCCTCAACGCGAACCGACGCTGGAGTTAAACCCCGAAGCTTTTCTTGTGGTTATCGGAGCAAAACGATACGCTTCGAGGTTTGTCAGCTCCTGCCCCCCAGAAACAGCCCTTTTCATCTGTTGCTGCCAAATCAGGAAGTAGCATTAGCGGCTCGCGCAGCCTTTTTGCCTACTGAAACTTCCGAGGCTGCGCGCTCGTGAACGTCCCACGTACTGCGCAGAGGAGGGGGGGGGCAGCACAACGGAGCATTTCCGACAAGTTAAACCGGTATTTAGATTGATTCAAGAGTGCCGAGCATATTTTAAGTTTATGTTTGAGCTGCAGTTTGAATTCTTAGTTTTATAATAGTAAGTTAGCTGTGTCGTACAAGAGCTCCGCTGTGGCGCGGTCTTGAATGCAGCTTTGTTTTCTTTCTGCGTGCACGAGAGCCTCCACCAGGGGCGGCAAACAATATTTCCATAGTTAACACACGGGTCAGTATCCAGCCCCCCCAGACCCCGTACAGCTTGTATTCATTAAGCTTATTTACCATGAACATTACTGTGAGCGTTCAGCTTTATTCAGCGGTTCTGACTCATGTGGGCGGAGCTTAGAGGTAGTGCTGCTGACAGCGTGCTGACTGCGTGCTGCTGTGGCTCTGCAGTCAGGTCCAAACACGCTCTGCATTTTAAAAAGCTCACTGTTCCGGTTTAGTTTAACTGTTCAAAAAAGCAGCCCAAATGTGTTCTGTGTAATTGTGCCTTGCACCTTTCATTTACAATAGACGTTGTTAAGATTATTATATTACACATGTACAGTACAATTATACCTATATATGTGTTTATAAGCTATCAGTCTCTAAATATATCATTATATATATTTCATTTATATATTTATACGAACTGTACAGCTACCTCCTGTTGTAATCTTTGTGCAATTTCATCCATCTTTTGAGACAATATTTTTTGTATGAAAATGCTGTATTTTATTTAATTTTTTTATTATATGTGTATTTTCCTATCTATCACACTTTTTTGTTGTGATTTATACAGAGATGCTGTAACAAGCAAATTTCCCTGGTGTGGGATCAGTAAAGTCTAAGTCTTATCCTGTCCTATCCTTTCTCAGAGCTACCAGCCTCATATGGATTCTACAGTGATTATGATATACACAGATCAGCCATAACATTCTGACCACTAGGTTATGGTTATGGTATGTTATCCTCACGCTGCCCATTTTTCCTGCTTCTAACACATCAACTTTGAGGACAAAATGTTCACTTGCTGCCTGATATATCCCACCCACTGACAGGAGCCAATAACCAGATAATCAGTATTCACCTTACAGAAATAGTCAGTACTCTCTCTCTCTCTCTCTCTCTCTATATATATATATATATATATATATAATTTAAATGACATATTTATTCACACTACAGAGTGATTATGATATCAGACATATTGAATTGACATATTATAGTTTATATCCAGTGTTTTCTCTCTCTCACTCTGTAAGTGGATTTGTGGGACAGAACACAAATGCAGTATATCGTACCTCAGTGTAAAAATAACAATTTTACAGTATTGTTCTGAAAGTTCCTGTTCTGCTACTTCAGTTCAACTTTAAAGTGGACATGAAACACTATAGATGTAGTTAGCATAATCTACCAGATAAATCCCCACTCTAAAAATCCATATAGGTTCAATTCCTGGTGAACCTGGTATAAAATAATAAAATAATAAGTTAAGTGTAGCTCCATCTTATGCTTGTGTAGAATGTGACTTTGATGTTGGCTTGGTCGTCCTACATTAGTTCTAATTAGCTAACTAGTGACAGCAGGGTGAAAGGTATAAAAAGGGCACCAGCTTGCAGTAATGTGTGATGCATTTATGAGGAAACAGCTTAGTCAGGGTTAGGATTAGCACCCTAGAGGGGACTTTAGCCCTTTTTCTCCACCCGCAAATGAAAAAAAAGTAAATGGACAGCACTTATATAACACCTTTTTAGTCTTAGGGTCTTTCATAGTGTTTTATAAAAGTCACATTCATATACATTCAACATAACTTTTGTCTTGCCCTTCGATGCAGTAAAGATTGTCCACGTTTATGCTTATAATATTCTACTGCAGTTCCTAAAGAAATCAAAGAAAATGACAGAAAAACATGAGTAAATATTATTTATATTGTTATTCCCACTTTTTCACATTTCAGTGACTTTCAGTGAACTCGACGTTGGTGGCATTAATTGTTGCCAGCAGCACAATTTTTTTAACACACAGAAAAAGCATTTTTTGTTTTAGTTACAGTAAATCAAAGAGTCCAAATATCCCACACAGCTGAGAAAGTGTTCCATCCCACAAAGCATTTTCTCCTCAGACAGAAGAACCTTGATCTTCTGAGCTCTTGGAGTAGAAATGTCATGTTGTTATGGAATGGTCCCAGATCGTGGAACATGTGAGTAAAGTGTCAGTTTCAACCAAAGAACCCATTTGACTTCAAAGGATACATTTTCAGAATGAGTCTGGGACAGAGCACCATCTGTGCATCTGACACAATGAGACTTCAAAACTGACAACGCTCACCTTTGTTTAAAATAAAACCCAGAACATGAGACCCATTGTGTAAATGAGCATTACCACAAAAATGACAGAGCTGTCTAGATTTCATTGAGTGCACTGAGCCTGAAAGCGGTCAGTGGACACATGGGACAAGCTATAGCAGCAGCTGATGAATAAGCTTTGTTAGGAGACTGAAATTCTTATAAATAATATCATTTCACCCATATTACACCTGACTGCTGTATATATACCCGTATCAACTGATAATACTGATCTTTAGTTATTAGAGAATTGTTATGGCTACTTTTTTCATGAAATCCACCCTAAAAACAAAGTGTTTTAGAATGGATGGATCCAGCAGCAACAAACATTTAAGACTTCAACACAAGGAACGTATTGACAGTTAATAAATGATCCACTTTTTAAATTTGGTATACATTTGACTTTAGGAAAAGGACTAGTTGCTCAAAATACTTGATTGTAGATCAGAAGTTGTATCAGGTTAGGGTTAGGGTTTAACAAGGACATTTTTAGTGCTGTTTTCTTAGCATTTAGCAAGGTACCGGTATGTGTTTACAAGAAATGTTCCTGGATTGCCTTTTTGTCTGTATATTTTTTCACTGATCAATCAATGTTTTAGAGGATGGACAGACATATTTTTTATTTATCATTGACCTTTTCACAGCAGCCATTTTTACATAAAATAGTAAGGGTACGGTAACCACAGGTATTACCAATTTTACAAAAACACACTGGCACACTGGAAAGTCTCTGCTACACTAAATGTAACAGAGCTTTAATTTGGTAACGCCTGTGTTTAGCCTACAATTTCATGTCAAAATGGCTGTGAAAAAACTCTATTCCAATGGAACTATGAACGATCAAACCTGAGGTGTGCTAACTTTGGCAAATATACAAGAGTTATTATAACACCATAATTTGTAAAATATATTAAAACATATTAATGTGTGGTACGTCTCTGTTTTTCAAAAACATTTATGTTAAAAGAATATAGAAACACTCAAAATCGGCCAAAGCACACTATTTTGGAAAAGCCATTTTCAGTTATTATAATTGCACAAAAAGGAACAGTGTTCTGCTTCAGGTCAGTACATTGAGTTAGATTCATTAATTTACATAAAGGACATTGTGAGAGAATGTATCTGCAGTTTCAGACATCTCCACTGTCTGCCAATCACATTCCAAAGTTAAATTCTCTCATCCACGTCAAAATAAATACAACTCATGGTCAATTTTATATTATGTTATATTGTGCAAAATATCCTGTACAGGAACATTTTGAACATAAGAAAACGCAAAACATACCAGTCAAGCATTCATTCTCAATGCTTTAGACTCAAATACAGCGTACCTTGTTGCAGCCACACTTATAACGCACACACACACACACACACAATTCTATATATATATATATATATATATATATATATAATCTAGAGAAGTGCAAGTTGAATCTATACAGGAAAACTATATTTTCTCTTTGTCTCGTCACTGCATTGTTTGTGAAATACACTTGTCAATCTTGTGTGTGGTGACTGTGGAGCTGCAGTCAAGACGTGGTTAGCCTAGCTTAGCATAAAGACTGGAAGCAGGAAACACCTCTAAAGCTCAAAAAGTTCAAACAAACTTCATATTTACCTGCAAGTATAAATCTTCTCCAAAGTCTCGGCAGGAAAGCCAATAATTGTATTTCCCAAAATGATAGATTTGTTGTGTTCCAGGGGGAAAGTTTGCATCATTCGTGCCTTCATAACATAGATGTGTACATCTGCACATGAAAAATCCCATCACTGAATATATACATGCAGAAAAAAACAAAGTGTGCTTACTTCAGAATGGCTATGGCACAGGGAACAAAACTTACACTTAAACATAGTTTTTTTATAATGTCCTGTATAAGTAACTAGATTGGAGTAGAGTGCACTTTTGAAGATGGCTAAAAGATAAAAGCGTCACATCTTAAGTTAGGAATGTTAGCCAAATGCTAGCTATCTAGCTAATCTACATCAGTCATTAGCGAGCCTGTTACATCTGAAACCTATTGTAAGCAAATGCTAGCTAACTATCTGCATTTTGCTAACATTAGTTAACTTAAGAAGTGAATATATGTATGTTTCTTTTATCTTTTAACAATCTTTAAAATGTGGTTGTCTTTTCAACATAGATTAGCCTAGCACATAGCATATCAAAGTACAGGAAAGGAAGAAGTTGACTGAGGCTTGCTCAACTGTTATTGGACTACAGAGCAAAAAGGGGCGGGACGTAGGAAGGGTCTGTCTTTTTTTGTACTTTGGATATAGCCAGGCTAGCTGCTTCTTCCCGCTTCCACTCTATAGCCTACACCAGCTTATTTTAAGCATGTGTTGACTCTCAAACTGTTGAACTATTACTTTGAGTCCTCACCGTATGAAAGCAGTTTATTTTCTCCAGTAAACAAGACAGTTGTGACAGATGGCATAAAAAGATTATTAGTAACCAATAGTCTTCTCAGCCTGCATGGTAGCACAGTAAAAGGTCAAAAGTACAAAAATACTAAGTCCTGTACAACCTTGACCCATGAACCAGAATGTGGATTTCAGTGTAAATGATAATTCTGAGCCTACCACAGCCTTATATGTGTTTCAGCAGGGCTTTAACAGTCAGTGAGGTGCTGCTGTCCATCAAGTGTCTTGTTACTGGTCCAGCTTTGATACCAGTCTCTCACGGCTGCCGTCAAACAAGTTATGTCTCCGCTGTTTTCTACGGTTCATTTTGGACAGATCCTTATCAAACACCTCTCCGGAGCGCAGAGCAGATACCAGGTCATCGAACTCGCCACCTTCCTCTTCATTTGCTCTCCTCGCCTTCTGCTCCCTCTCTTTCTTCAGCTGGAGACGAAGAGAGAGTGAGATCATGTCAGTAGAGGATGGATGGCTAGGGTTCATGTAACATCTTTACTGTACATTTATGAATGACTGAGGTGATCATCAGAAGTTACTGTCACATCTTGTGCCATTTGAACATTTTGTAATCACACGCTAAGTGTAGAAAGAACCATTCAAACATTATGTATCCTTCTTATCTGAGCCGATAAAATGTCTTCTAACCTGTGCCTCCATGAGTGCCCGTCTCTCCTCTTCCTCCTTGCGTCTGGCCATATTCTCGTTGTCCTGTTTGGCTTCTGAGAAAGATGTGAGGAAAGTGTCGAAGATCCCAAAGAACTCGTCCGGCTGCAGGTTGGACATGTCTTCTCCAAAGTGCCTCAGTGCCTTTCCAAACTTTAAAAGGAGATGTGATGTGTGAGGGGGGACTATTTTGTAATTTCCTGCATTTTGTCTTTAATCAAAGGCTATAAATGAACTTCCTGTCCTAAGTTGATGGTTCAATAAAAGAACAGCACAAATAAGGTGCAGATGCATTTGTATGTTATATAGAAGCATAAATCACAGTGCCCTCATGACCTCAAGATTTGGTCTGAGGTCTGTGTACTGGAGAGAAATGATGCTGTAATGAAATGTGAAGGCAAATAACTCATCAAATACGGTCACTTGGTCAGTGGCCCTCTGTTAGAAAATATAGGTATCCCTCCAGTCCCTCTCCAGTGGCTCCCTGTGGCTTTAACAATTATATGGTAATGAAAAATTACATTTTTAAAAATATTTTCATGTATTATTGTTTTATGTCTAAAGTTAATCAACAATCCAATTGTAAAAAAAAAAGAAACAAAAAGAAACTGTCCTGGCACCTTTTCCTCTACATTTTGCTGAACCTCAATAGTGGGTCTCCCTAGCTAGGCTAGTATGCTATAATTGATATCCAAATTCAAAAAAAGAAAAGTCTCAGAGTAAAACTGAGAATTTAATAGTACGTGTACAGATCTTCACTCTGTATACTACGTCACCTGACTTTGACAGAGGGGGCGTGTCTAGAAATGGTGCTAGAGGGATACATACAGTCATATTTTGAAGCAGAAGGCCACTGACCGAGCTGCAGTATTTGGACTAGGGAGTGAGATGTGTTGGAACATTAATAGGCAACCCACTGACACATCCTAATGTCGTCAATTTGAGATACACTTACAGTGAGATGTTTAGGTCAATCTCAAGTCTGTGTGCTGTAGAGGACATGGTTAGCCTAGCTTAGCATCAAGATTGGAAGCAGTGGGAAACAGTGTTAGTCTAGTGATTGAGAGCATCAGTCACTCCAGAATCTACCACAGATGTTTAACTGGGTTCCTGGTTACTCAGTGTATTTATACCTTGAGACTGCTTACTGTTACAATAATAATACAAGTGTTTGAAGCTGAAAATGAATGTGAATAACAGTTATATCTTGCCCACTCACCACTTCTTTGGCCTCACTGAGTGACTCCTCTACATCGGAGAAGCTGAAGGAGGCCACAGTGATGAACTGACTGACCACAGAGACAAACTTATTCGCAGGACTGCGAGAGGACTGAGCCTGCTGGTACCGCAGCTCCTGGAGACACACACACCAGACAGTGATGTACAGATACAGGCACACTGATTTCACATGTGACTTTTTTCATATATTTTTCGCTGTTATTTACAGTGGATGACCAGATTGTTGGGTGATAAAACATACTTTGATGATACTGAACAGATTTTCAAGAACTCTACTGAGCTCACTCACCGCTTCAACACTCTTTAGACCAGATCTCAGGTTGCCAATGTCCTTCTCCAACTCTGTCATACTGGAGAAACAGTGAAAGAGGCAGAGGAAGGGTAGAGGTAATGAGTAACATGACAGTCATTGCCAGCTGCATTAAACCTAATACATTTAACATTACTTTACATTACATTACTGGTTTTAGGTGGACGTTGCCACATTTGTTACCACCCCAGTGTTGCTTTGCAGTACTTACACGTACACTTAATTAAAAAGGTGAGGTTTAATATCCTGATTCTAGTTTTATAAATATGAATAAACCAGGCTCAATATAAACAACTATTTATTTCTACTAAATATATTATTTAAATAGACTTGATTCAACATGTACATGTACTACTAAAGGTGCAGTCAGTGGAACATTTAGGAGGATCTATTGTCACAAATGGAATACAATATTCAAAGGTATGTGTATGTGTTACTAGATATGATTAATCTTTCC